TTCACCACATCTTTTCGAAGGGAAACTATCTCTGTACCAAAACTTTGAATGACAGAAGGTTTATAAAAACTCTAAGGAATAATTGAAGACAAATCTTCACAGAAAGTGAAAGTCAGAAATCTGCTATTAGAATCTCTAGGCAATAGCAAATGAATATCCTGCCTTGCAACAGAACTTTAATTCCAGCCCCACTGAGTTAGGAACCTATAGCTTGAATGAAGTCTGAATCCTCAGGCAAGCTGGGAATATTGGAATCCAAGAGGCACCTTACCAGGGATTCCTGTTAACTCTGGTGAGGATGGAAGATATATCAGTTGTGCTGGTATCAAAGATCTGGCTGCTGGTGAAACGATGGGGAAAGTCCCCTTCAGTTCCCTTCATAGTTGCTAATTTGTCAACCTTAAATCAGGATTCAGGCAATATGATTAAATATTGAGTTTATTCAAGCACAAAGTTTGAGGATAGTCACTGGTAAGGACATATGGGGTCATGCACTGAAGAGGAGCAGCTTGAGGGCTGTTTGTATAGGCAAAAGCTGGGGAAACAGAATAGGGTCTCAACATTTTCCATGAAAGGTTAGTGCATAGTTACAGCAATTTGATTGATGATAGGCAGTGTTTCCTTTTGGGAAAGGAATATTAACATTCCACATTAAGGATGTAATGGTCAAGGGGTCTTTTCCCTTAGTCAAGAAGTCTGTTGTCTCAGGTACCATTTGGTCTGAGCTGCGACAAAAAAACAACTAAATAAATAAATAAGGAAGAACGTTAATCTAAAAAGGTCAGTAAATAAGAGATCATGCTTTGTGACTTGGTCTCCAAAGTCAACCTTGCTCAAGGCCTAACAACTTTTAGAAGCCCCAAAACAGACTGATTATCCATTTTCTTTCACAATAAAGAGAAATTTATCTTTCATGGAAATTTATTGCATGATTTATTTCAGTACAGTAGACAACAGTCTCCATTTGTTAATCTCACATTTCCCACAAGAAGGCAAAATTTATTGCCAGTCTGGTAAATGTTAAGAGGTTTTAGGTCCACAAACGGAAATTTAACTAAGGGTTTCCCAGAAGCCGTGAATATCAAAAATGAGAAAAGTTTTACCTAAAACCTTTCTATAGGATGTTTCAAAACACCACCGAAGTAGTCATCATGGGAAAAAAATGAGAATTTATTGGACTTCATTATACCAGTTGTATGGTGTAATATTCTTTTTATTTTGAATTATACCTTGTGGGTATTGGGTTGGGTTAGAGGGGAGTCCCACAGTCTAGCCCAGGGCTTGGTAAAGGTCTTCATGTGATCATATGTTGTTGAGTCATTATCAAATAGATAATTCCAAATCACTTAACATTCTTTCTTTCTTTTTTTTTTTTTTTTTTTTTTTGAGACAGAGTCTTGCTCTGTCACCAGGCACCAGGCTGGAGTGTGCAGTGGCACAATCTTGGCTCACTGCAATCTCTGCCTCCTGGGTTGAAGCAATTCTCCTGCCTCAGCCTCCTGAGTAGCTGGGACTAGAGGTGCATGCCACCATGCCCAGCTAATTTTTGTGTTTTTTAGTAGAGATGAGGTTTCACCATGTTGCCCAAGATGGTCTCAATCTCTTGACCTCGTGATCTGCCCGCCTCGGCCTCCCAAAGTGCTGGGATTACAGGCGTGAGCCACCACGCCCAGCCAACGTTCTTAAAATAATAGTTTTCTTATAGAAGAAAAGGTATGATTAAAATGCACATGGACTATAGGAAGAGAAAAGTGGGTCATTCACTGGCTGGCTGGGGTCAGGGCCTGCACATGAGAAACAGACACTCAAGACAGTTGGGCACATTAGAACAGAGATTCTTCAGACCAAATGATGAGAATCTTGTTCTCAAGTACCATATGTTTTAGTAAAGACCTGCACTATCACCCTAATAAATAATTTTCATTATTATTAAGAACAGATTAAAGTAATACTGGCTTATAAACGAATTTTCCAAAGAAACAGATAACACCATAAAAGAATAAAATTGTAAAAAGATCACCACAAGACCACAATTATTTCCAAAATATGGACTGTTAATGCGAAGTCCCATCACCAGGGTCTGCTTCTGTAGCTTCCTTCCTTGAAGTTTCTTCCACCAGCACATGGTTGTTGAATCCTTTAAAACTGAAAATGAGCGTCTCAGCTAATATCACTGTGAGGGTTTAAAATATAAGAATGCTAAGAGTTTAAAATATAAGAACGCTAATATTCTCTAGTGCTTATTATATATAGACAACTTCTAAATGCTTTATACTGATTTATTTAATACTGCCTGTTCAAGGTAGCTACCAACTATTATTATCCATTATACAAATGTGGATATGAAGGTACAGAAAGAAAAAGCAACATGCTGAAAGGCACACAGCTGGGAAGAGGCAGAATCGCTAACTGAGCCCAAGCAGTCTGAATCCAGAGTCCACTCTCTTAACACTTAGCTTTCAGTAGGTGTAAGACCTGGATAGTCTTTAGCAATCATGATAATACACTTTAGATTTTCTGGGTCATCCTGTTTTCAACCTTTCTGATCACTGAACCTAAATAAATTCAGATATTTTGGACTTTTTTTGTCACATACAAATATGTTTGTAAATGTATGTAGACATTCCAGCCACCAAATACTTCAATTTTAGGTGTCCCATTAAAGCTAGCTCTATAGTTTGGATTATGTACCTTTATACAAATAAAATGTTTAGACTCAGCCGCTCTGGACCTTAGTCTTTTCATCTTTAAAGTGAGGGTGTTGCTTGCACTTGCATGTTCATCACAGCACTATCCACAACAGCAAAGTCACGGGACCAGCTTAGGCTGGGACCATCAACAGTTGACTGAATAACCATCAGTTAGTCATGGAACCATCAGCAGTTGACTGGACAACCACCACTTAGTCATGGAACTATCAACTGTTGACAGGATAGAGAAAATATCACACACACACACACACACACACACACACACACCCCATGGAATACTACACAGCCATAAAAAGAATGAAATCATGTTCTTTGCAGCCACATGGATGGAGCTTGAGGTCATTATCCTAAGTCAACTAACTCAGAAACAGAAAGTCAAATACTACACCTTTTCACATATAAGTGGAAGATAAACAATGGGTAAAGATAAATAAAGATGGAAATAATAGACATTGGGAATTCCAAAAGCAGGGAGGCTGGGAAGGGAATGAGGGTTGAAAAATAACCTCTCATGTATGATGTTCACTATCTGGGTAACAGATACACTAGAAACTCAATCTCACCAGTACAAAACATACACATCTAACAAACATGCAAATCTCCCCCCTGTATTTACAATTAAATTACATTTAAATGACGGCATTGGACTAGATGTACTTCCAATGTCACGATTACATTTAACATCTGTCAGTTGTATCCAGGTTTAGTCTCATTTTTGCTGAAATAGCATGTCATCAGCCTTCCAGGAAATGATTGTGAAAATCCATTCATATACTCTGAGGATCAGCATAGCACATTCCTAGAGGTAATTGCATCTACTCAAATCAATGAGTCATTGGCCATTTGTAATTCTCCATGGGTTAATTACTAACACCATTGTTGAGACTGTAACATGTTTTGTTTGTGTTTAGAGAAATGTTTTTGTGGTTTCAATCTTAATTTGGCAGCAGCTGACATGAATTCAAACCATACATTATACTCATTGGTCTTTCACAACTGCCATTTCCCCCAGGCAGCCTGATTATCCTACCCATGAAAACAGTAGAGTGCACCTAGCTTGTAAGACAGCAGATGAACAGTACTCAGTGAATAAGCTTTATGGACTAAATGGGGCGTGAGGTTCATTGTGCTCCCTATCACAGTCAAGAGGACTCGAAACAGGAAGAAATATGTCATTTAAATAAACTGGAAGAGATAAAAGAAGAGTTCAAAATCACTCAGCCAGTTAAAACCAATTTAACACCTTTGTTGAGTTTAGGAGCTTACTGCTTAAAGTATTCTGGCAGATTAAATATCCAGACGGTGGGCAAAAAGAAAGGAAATGATACCTATGAGTATTTAACATGTGCCAGACATTGTGCAGAACCTCACTGTAATAATAAAAAACACACGTTTTTTGTATTCTAACTGCTTTACATGTCTTAACTCATTTAATCCTCGTATCAACTCCAAGGGGTAAATATAATTTTAACCCTATTTTTTATTGCTTTTAATTTTATAAGAAACATAAACGGCAGCCAATACTGAACTTACTTTTCAGATAAGTACACTGTGTCTCAGAGTTTATAATTTGGTCATGGTTTCATAGCTAATAAGTAACTAATGCCAAACTCACACCCTTCTCTGTTGGACCTCAAAGTTGTGTTTTCCCCTGACTTAGCAAGAAGCCTGCTACATTTGAAAAGCTCAGCATTTTGTCATATAGCTGAGAATTTCCACATTGGAAGGGACCTCAATGATCCCAATCCTATTGCTTTTACTTCATAAGAAACCACTGGTGTCTTCAAATGATTAAGCTTAAGGTCAAATGGTTAACTGGTCTGAAACCTAGGTCCTTGACTTCTTGGTCTAAATCACCTCCTTTACTTCTGTAATTCCTAGTCCATTGAATGCACACGGTTCTAAAACAATGAGTTTCAAGTTGGGATGTGCATCAGAGAGTTTACCTGTGGGACTTTTTAAAAACACAGATTCCCTAGCACCACCATAGACCTACTGAATCCAAGTTACCTAGTAGTCAACAAATATGTGATTCCGATGTGACTATAACTTCACACACAGTTAATGTAATTACTTGCTCTAAGTTCTAATTTTAAGAAAACTTATTGCCATCAGAATTACTAGGGGCTGGGTTTCAAGTCATACTAGGACTCCAATACAACAGGCAAGTGGAGAAGGAAAGAAGTCAGATCAAAAACTGCAGGTTCTGACTCAGCCGTAGATTCAGATGTAGAGCTGGCCCCTGAATGGAGTGGCCAGAAGCCCATGGGGGCAAGGTGAACAATGCAGGTGGGATTTGGCTGTCTCAGAGGTCTTTAGGCAGTAAGATGCTTGAAATCAGGCAGGAGGCAAGATTGCAGTTCTGCATAGTTGGAGTTAAAACAGGTCCCTAACCAGACATAGTGATCACAGGAAGAGTGTCCATATTCTGAGAAAAGGGGCTGGCAAAGGGTACAGTAGTTAGCAGGACTTCAGTCATATATAACCTAGGGTTTGGAGAAGGCTGTCAGCCCCATGGAAAGTTTTTAGTATTAATAAGGATCCAAGCCAAAGCTCATTTCTCTTTTCTTCACTTAAGCATCCATTTCTTCATTTAAGTATCTATTGATCATCTCTTAGCCCAGTCACTAGAGTCACTAGGCTTACATATTCTATCTCTGTAATGCTGATTATTCATTCTTTCTTCACTATCCAGAAAATTCAAACATTCTTTCCATATTTTAAAGATCCCCCACGTTGTGATTTAAAGGACACATGGAAGCCAGATACTCCCTCTAGCAGAGGTTTGCAGGTCATAATCTAGTCCCCTTCAATCAAAGGCCAACCAGAGCTCCAGGCTCTCTGCTAGGCACCGGAGATTTAAAGGTCATCATAACTGTACCACAGGAAGAAAAAGGAAGACATCATATTTGGGACTTAGTCTGTACCAGACCTCAGTGGTATGGTGCCTTCTAATACACAGACCACTTTAGTCAGAACCAGCTGGGGGCTATGCAGGGTTGAGTGTGTGTGCATCCAACATCAGTATCAGCTAACCAAGAAAGGGAGGCATTGACAATAATATAGGAGACTAATTATATGCTGTTGTAGGTATGTATTGTAGCACAACTGTCACAATCAGTAAAATATGTCTAGTGACTAGGATGTAAAAGGGAAAGGGGGGAATTTTTTTTTTTTTGACACAGTTTTGCTCTTGTTGCCCAGGCTGGAGTGCAATGGTAGGATGTCAGCTCACTGCAACCTCCACCTCCTGGGTTCAAGCAATTCTCCTGCCTTAGTCTCCTGAGTAGATTAGAGGAGCCCACTGCCACCACGCTGAGCTAATTTTTTGTATATTTAGTAGAGATGGGGTTTCACCATGTTGGCCAGGCTGGTCTCAAACTCCTGACTTCAGATGATCCGCCCACCTCAGCCTCACAAACTGCTGGGATTACAGGCATGAGCTGCTGCACCCAGCTGGGATCTTCCTTTTTAAGTGCACAGACTGGAAGTCACGCACGTCACTTCTAAGCACGTTGCACTGACCAGAACTTAGTCACATCTCACTGCAAGAGAGCCTGTGAGTTACAGGCTTTGGCTGGGCATACCCATGAGCTCTTTGTTATATTATGTTGCCTATTAAAAAGTAAAATTTTTAAAGGAAAAATATGTCTATAAGCAACTTGGGTTTTAGAATCTCCATCCTAGCTTTTGAGAATTTGGGATCTTTTATCTCTCCAGCTTAGTCAGACTCTCTAGTTCATGTAATAGGACACTCCTATTCTGATCTTATTCCTTGCAAGCTGCATATGATGTATCTTAATATATTGTACCACCTGCTATCTGGTTGGCTTATGGCCACTCTTTGATCTACACTTGTATTTATTCTACTTGGAGAAAGGTATACTCTTTATAGGACTGGAATGGTGGAACTTGTGATGATTTCTACAGGCTCTGCCTGTAGCCACTTAGGAAGCAGAAGGGGAATCCAAACAGAACCTTTTTCAGCCAAGACCCACAGACCCTTGTGTGCCAAATGTGGTTAATAGGATACATTTTGGGAAAATTTACTGAGTCCTCTACTCATGAAACCATTGTTAAATATTATATTGTAGTTAAGCTTTCTATGCTTTCTTTCATCTTTGAGAAGGCTATATTAGAAGTTATAAATTTCTCTTTATTTAAAGTGTTACATACCTTTACTGGAGTTCACCTACATTTAAGCTTAGACTGGAAATATTATGGAGATGAGAAGAACAAGAGAAACTGAAGAGCTTGGCTGCTCAGTTGGTGACCTTGTTATTTCCTAAGGACAATTAAGTTGCACAAATCTATGGTGTACTTCTAACAAAAGTCAACAGGATCTTACATTATAAACCTTGTACACCAATTGTACTAGACGCTAACCATTCTTTTTGGTGGGCAACATCTGAACCTCATTATAGTTTAGGAATTCTTTACCTGTTTTCTGATTGGACATAGTGAGCCAGAGGTAGCCACTTTCAAAGATGTGCTTGTAAGACATTTGCATATCAAACCTGTAGGGAACAAACCTGAAAAAAATTCAGGGACTTGCTACCTCAGTGAAGTGGTACATCTAAATACTCCTTCTAACATAAAGGATAACTGTTGCATCTGAATCTCAAAGATATCAGGCCCTGTGCATGCTGCCTTTAGGGGCGTATTTTTGTAAACATAATTAAATTGAGGATCTTGAGATGAGATAGTTAGCCTGAATTATTAAGGTGAGTTCTATCTGCCATTGCATGTTATTACAGAAAGTCAGAGGGAGATTTGACAAATACACGCGGAAAAGGTAACATAAAGATGGAAGTGGAGATTGGTGTGATGTGGCCACAAGCTAAGGAATGCCTGCAGCCACCAGGGTGGCATCCTAGAAACTAGAAAGTGGGGAGTGTGGCCCTGCTGACACTGACTTTGGTCTTTTGGGCTCCAGAACTATGACAGAATAAATTTCTGTTGCTTTATGCCACCAAGTTTGTGGTAATTTTTTCCAGCAACCACAGGAAAAGAAAGGAGATTTTACTGCAGTGGTCACTGAAATACCAGATACCAGCAGCTCACTTTCCCAGTCTCCCTCAGAGTGAGGACATAAACATGTGCTGGTCAGATGCATTCTAAAATTTGAGCCAGGTATTTCTCATACAAAACTCTGGGGCTGTAGAAAATCCTCCCTATGGCAGCAATGTAGATTACATTAAGATGGATCTTCTGGAAGAGCAGTGTCAGGCAGGTCAGTGCTGTGGAGAGAACCTCTGGCTGCACAGCCTTCAACTAAGCCTGGTTCACCTGACCACCTGGTAATTCTGTAAGCTACTAATGTCCTTTCAATATGTCACCTTTCTGTTTGTACTGAATTAACTTGGTTTCTGTTATTTAACTAAAACCCTGACTAATACATGGCCTCGCCTTTAATGTGGTTAATTTCCTAAAACTTTGCCCTTCTCTCCCTTTCCTTCATTTTCTCAACATATAGATGTAGGTACAGATGTAAATATACAGGCATAGATATAGGTATACACACACATACAAATTTGATTCTTCCTTCTTTGAAAAGAAGATCTGAAAGGCATACCAAATATGTTTTTTGAGTATATGCATTAAAGTCTCCCCACATCCCCCTTCATGCCCATCTTTGCCTTCCTCTCTGTTTTTATTTTCACTTTTTTAAGGAAGATTCATGCTGCCTTCACATCCTACTGGTAGCACATTTCAGTACTTATCACACAGTTTCGGTTCAATAGTTACTTGATTATATTAAGCAATATTCTGAATAGTAAAATTGATCAACTCAAGCCTTTTTGACAGTTGCTTTAAATCATGAACCAAAGTGATTCGATTTATCTCAAAACCACCTCAGTTTGGGGTGTATTTGTTGCATCTGTTAAATTGATCATGAAAGGCTTTCAGTGAAAATCTTCATTTCATGCTATATTCTGTATGCCTGTTTCCTTTAAGGCTTACATTGAAGCAAAGCTGTATTGAAGTGCTTTAAAAATATCATTTCATGAGTAATATGTCTGAGATAGAATTTCTGAATCTATTTGCAAAGCTGCCATCAATCTGTCACCTCAAAATATTTTCCCTAGCTGTTCCCACATTTACCAATGTTATTGCCATAGAACTCACAAAGTGATTTTGTTGAATGAATGAATGTTAAGCACATGATGACGATGCTTATCAGAAGCTTGAAGATGTACTGGGAAGAGAGGAAAGCTGAAAGTATCACTGTGAGGATGAGCAAGCCCTCCAAACTGAGTCCTGTTGAGAACACAACGCAAACAGAGATAGGACAGAATTAAGGGGCTTGCAAGAAAATGGGAGAGAGAAAACATTGAGTGGTTCAGAAAGAAAGAAAGAAGCCAGGCTTCTGCCCAAAATGGGTAGATAGTAAGAATGCCAATGGCAGTTTTTACTAGTAACTTTTCTGACTATTTCATTTTCCTCACTGAATTAGCTGTACTTGAGCTTTTGCAAAGAATAGAACAAGGAAATACCAAACAGAAAAAAATGGCTTATGGTACAAAGTAGTTTTTTATTAGCGGGGTTAGAATTTTTTGTCAGAGCAAAAAAGATCTCTTCTGGTCTATTCAAGCACAAGTGAAATTTGTTAAAAAGACACACTAGATAGTTCACAGAGTAACAAGGCTGAAGAATGATGCTTGGAGCCTACGCAGCCACACAAGAAATGTCCCCAGATCACACATCTGACCTTGCCACTCGCTCACGCAGCTTTCATTACCAATGTGGTTGGCACTGAAAATTAGCCAGCAGCGAGGGAACCCCATTATGAGTACTTCTGCCACTTCTCCTCTGCAAACTTTGTTTACATCAACTGTCACTTCATTCAAAGAGAGAATTCTCCAGGAGTTTTGCCCCTTTGCATCCTCAGTGCCCAAAGTAAAGGGCAAGTATGTTAGACACTGTTCAGCAAGAAATAATGATGAATGACTACCACAACCAAACATGTGAATTGATAGGATATATTGAAAATTTATCTCAGCAATGTATATTGTTAAGGCGGAGGTTGCGGAGAGCCGAGATCGCACCATTGCTCTCCAGCCTGGGTAACAAGAGCGAAACTCCGTCAAAAAAAAAAAAATTAACTGATTTGTGAAATATAAAGTGAGAATCAGCCCTTTTCCCCTCCCTCAGGTATTCTGTCTTTCTTTGAACACGGTCATTCTCTACAAGGGAGGCAACTGAAAGTCTCATTCAATTCTGCCATCCATTTCAATGGCAACCCAGAACACTTGCTCATCTGTTGTCCTCTTCATAAGGTCCAGATGTGACTTCTCCTGGGCTCAATGCTCTATATATTCAAAGCACTTTGCTCCCCATCCAGCACAAGTATGCAAACAGTATGCCATGTTGGAGTAGAAGATGATAACCACATAAAGACTCTAACTTGGAAAATGGAAGAATGAGAAACACACAGCATGCATTAGTCTATAGCAATGGCACATCCTGGAAAACAAGAATCACAAGTACTCCCTTCTCTGCCGTAGAGTTGTCCCTACTCAGAGTTATTCCCTCATTTTTTTGTTCTACATGGTCTGTGGCTTTGCTGTCGGACTGGTTCATCTTGGATCACCATTCTCTAGTCCATATCTGAAATGGGTATTTAGAGGCCCTTCTTGGGAGATGTTTGAATCATCAAGAACTTTGATAGGATAGGTCTATAGTTTCTTTGGTAATATCATTCTCTTAGAAACTTAGGCTTCTGGGATAAGTTTGCTCCCAGTCAGTTTCATGTGCTGGCTCTTTTCTGGACATGATTCTTATACCTTTTATTTTTTTGATTCCTTGATTGATCTTGTAACTTGCTCCTTTTTTAATGGCAGCTATCTTGAGGCCATCTACAACAATGCAAGAGTCTTAGCTTAATGTTTTCCAAACAAGCTACCCTTTGTTTAACGGGAAGACTGTAAAAAAGTCTCCAAACAACAACTTATGTCTATAATAGATGTTTGCAGTGACTGCTGAGTCTCCATGTTTCTGGAAAGTCCTTATTTCATTCCCTCTTTGCTTATAAACTGCTGATTCTTCCAAAGCTTATAGATTTCTTATCTATTATGCCATCTATTTCTGCTAAAGGCAATACATAACTACCAAATATACATTAACATTCTTACTTTTTCTAACTGCTTTTTAGTAGACCTCTGTGCTTTTTGGTCCATGGTTTGCTCTTCATCTCGTTATAGGTCATAATTTTGCCAACTATTCTGATAGTATGTCACAGGATCACTACCTTTTCAGCTTGTATTCTCAGCATTTGTTGACTCTCCACCAAGCCAATGACATATATTTAGGCTTTTGTCAAGGTCACACCCCACTTCTGGTAGCATTTCTTATGTTACAGCAAGGCTAGGCAGCAGTCTCAAAGAGCTTCCACAATACTGTAATTTAAATAGAAAAGAAGTTTATTTCTCTCTTAATTAGTAGTCCCAGCATAAATGGCTCTGCTAACTTTTGCTTTTTCATTTATGAAATGCAAGTCCTTTTGAAATTATTTCTCCACCATCTGTTGAACATTTTGGCATCTGCATGGCCAAGTCTGGGTCACTGCCTGCATTCAAGTTTCAATTGGCAGGCAAGGGAAAAAGAAGTATTGAGAAGATGCCACCGTCTTATAGCTTAAGTGTGGGAGTGGTACTTATCCCTCTACTTACATTCAGTTGGCTACAATGTAGTTATAGGATCAATTCAAGCTTCAAGAAAGGCTGAGAAAGGTAGCTGATTTGAGCATTCATGTGCGTATGCTGAAGAGAAGAACAGAATTTTGTGAATATGTAGTATTTATTGCTACAACAGGCTATTAAATAATTTGTACTGAACAATTGGTTTTCTATTTAGAAAAAAATGGAACGGAATTATTACCAAACAAAAAGCAATCCCAGGTATATTAAATACTTAAATATGAAAAGTAAAACTATAAAATTATTAGAAGATAATACATATTTTTCTAACTTTGGAGAAGGAAGGAATTATTTTAAAAGACTTAAAATAAAAAGAAGGATAGGCCGGGCATGGTGGCTCACACCTGCAATCCCAACACTTTAAAAAGCCGAAGCTGGTGGATCACCTGAGGTCTGGAGTTCAAGACCAGCCTGGCCAACATGGTGAAACCCGTCTCTACTAAAAATACAAAAAATTTGCTGAGCATAGTGGCGGGTGCCTGTAATCCCAGCTACTCATGAGACTGAGGCAGGAGAATTGATTAAACCCAGGAGGCAGAGGTTGCAATGAGCTGAGAACATGCCATTGCACTGTAGCCTGGACAACAAGAGTGAAACTCTGCCTCAAAAACTAAAAATAAAAAGAAGGATAAATTGAACTACATTAAAGTTAAGGATTACTGTTTATTAAAAGACATTATCAAAACATTTTAAAACAAGCCACAAACTAAAAGAAGATATTTGCCTCATGTATAATCTACAAAGGATTATTGTTTAAAATACATAACAAATTCTTATGAATAAATAGTGAAATGAATAAACATATTAGCAGGAATTTCACAGAAACACCAAAAGCGTTTACATATGAAAATATCCTCAGTGTTTTGTATAATCAGGATAGTAGAGATTAAAAAAAAAAACCAATTAGATGCAAATTTGTATCCAACAGATTGGCAAAAATTAAAGTCTGACGAACATAAATGTTTATAAGGATCTAAAGACAAAGGTTTCTTGTATGCTGGTGGTAGTAATATCAGTTGAAGTAAATATTGGGAAACAGTTTGGTGTTGGCTATTATGTTCGACAAGTATGTGTGCTCTGGGTTAGACATTTCATTCCTAGGGCTATAAAATAAAGAAACTCCTGACTATTAGGACAAGACCTAGTAAGAAATTAATGTCATTGTTTGCAACAGCAAACTTGAAATATCCAAATATTCATTAATAGTAGAAGAAACACATTTTTATACTTACATAATGGAAAATAATAAACTACTGCTATCCATATTGTCATCCATGACCTTCAAAAACATAATATGAAACAAAATAAGTAATTTCAGAAGAAAACTACAGAATGTTCTATTTATATAAAGTTTTAAAACTCAGCAATATATTGTTGAAGGATAATTAAAGTAATTTAACTATGAAGGAGAACAACACTATGTTTAACTAAAATTTAAAATAGTAGTTGAGTGGGGAGGGAGAGGGAAGGAATTCATGAACACCACAAAAATAGCATCCAAGGTGCTAGCTATTTTCGCTTTTTAAAGTTGGCTACAGATTACACAGATAATCATATTACTGTTATTTTTAATACATACATCTGAGTTTATTCACTCTTTGGAATGTGTCTTTAAATTTTATAATTACAAAAATTAAATATTAATTAGCCAGTAGGTGTGGTGGTCTGGTATTGGAAATAATGGCTGTCAGCCACGTGGAGCCCCTATGTGTTTGTATCACATACTGTATATTTGTTGATGCCCTCTTGGGGTTGAAGTGTTAAGGACAGCTTCTCACATGACTTTCCCTACATTTGGGAAGGTTTAACAGCTCTTTATTGAAGGAGTTGGGAGTGGGGTGAGTGAGTGGTAAGTACTAGCAGAGAGAATATGGGTTTTGCACTCCTGGTCTAGTTACTAGTTTTCTTCCAATACCGCTACAATATTACTGTCTAGGCTTTTCACCAAAAGTGCCGTGTGGATGATCTTCCTCTCTCCTTCCTGTCCTCTCCCCTGGGCCTCATTCCTTATTCTCTGCTTTCCTTATCTTGCCAAAGCACTCTTCCTTTAACCTTTTCTTCCCCTTGTCCCTGATATTTCCATCTCTGCACTGCCCCCTAAACTTAACCAGGCTGATTCCAGCAATCTCTTCTGCATTTAACAAATTTGCCACTTAGTGTTTTAGATTTCAGTTATGTTTCTCCTCCATCCAATTACTGCTACTCCATACAGGGGTATGAGTGGTTTCTGGCTCGATGTACCTTTCTACTTTTGGAAAAAAATGACAGAATACATTTTAGTCCTGTGGAGGGTAACAAGACTATGGGGCTGCAAGGGAAGCCCTCTGGGCTGCAGCTGTTCCTTTCCTACAATATCCAAAGTCAAACATCTCTCACTACAGTGCAGATTGATTTCCTTCCAAAAACTTCATCTAGTGTGCATGAAAAAGTCACATCCAGCCTACAGTGTAACTTTGACCATTTTTTCTACCAATACGGGATACTCAGGACTAATTACCCTAAGAGAGGTTTGCTCCATCCTTGCTCTGAGTTGCATCATGAAGCACTTTTCGTGAACTGACACTGGATGGTACAAAGAAGGACAGCTAAGCGGGTAGCTGTACAGCTTTTAGAATCAGGTTGTCTGGTCTGAAAACCAGCTTCCCTCTTTCCCAGCTGGCTATCCCAGGCAACTGATCTAACCGCCCTGCATCAACTTTCTCCATCACCTGGAAATAACAATACTTACCCCACCAATTAAATGAAACAGTCCATGTAAAGTACCTGGCACATGGCCAAGGTTCAATGTTGGTTATTACTGTGTCATGTGCAAGCCACATCTATCTAATTACAGGATTTTTCCTTGTGAACAATGAAGCGTGTGGGTAGGGGGAGGGCAGAGCCAGGCAAGGGAGAGAAAAATTGAGCACTCCCTTTAGCATGGGGTGTTTTTTATCTCAATTGATATATGCTTAGAAATACAGCACTCATTTATCTAGTGGGACAGGGTGTTAGATGTAAAAACAACACAGGTAGATTAGTAGTTTTAAAGTAAAAGTTTTTCATGGATATAAGTACTTTCTTGGATATAAATTGGAACATTTAAAAAGAAACAATCAAACCTTTTACTAGCTTTTTAAAAATTTATGCCAGAAGCCATTCGAACATGCCTGCTTTTAGAAGCAGGCTTACAAATCTGCTTCATTCTAAATATTCCCCTGAAGAGCAAAGGGAAAATGTAAACAGTTAAGGTTTCTTATTCCTTGTCATTTTTTTCCCCCATCAAAAAGACAAGGTCAACACTTGTTCAATTTCAAACTGGGTTTGGAACACAGATTTTGGAACCGCACTTTGGGTTCTGTCAACTCTAAAAAGTTTAAGACATTACTGAGAGGTAAACATGAATTAGGTTAGGAGGACACGCCGGTGCTGGCCAGACCTGCCTGCACCAGCAGACTTGATTTTGCTCTGCTCTGCCAACACTGGAGAGAAGAAGCTGACTGCTTCTCTCCAGAAAGACAACAGCAGTTGACAGGAAGGCAAAAGTGTGCATAATGAAGGTGTGGCAAAATATGATGCCCCATTCTAGAAGGTCCAGGAAGTACCTCTCAGGTTCTTGTAGAACCGCAAATATTAAAGAAGATATTTTAATGCATTGTTTGGAAAACACTTCTCTAGCCGGTGCTTGTATTTGATACCTCTTTAGTGACTTTACCCATAGACAGCAGCTTGAGAATTATGAGGTAATGATCTTAAGCTGCTTTCTGGAAATGTATTTCTCCATCTCACTCTATGGACATTGAGAACTGAACGTGCGTCAAAGGCTCTGGCATAAACCGTGGAAGGCATCCAGATAAAAGAAGAAAGAAAATAGAAGAAAGAAGGAAGGAAGGAAGGAGGGGGAAGGAAAGAAGAAAGGAAGGAATCGCGGGCTGTCCTCTGCCCACTTGCGGAGGGTGTACTGGCAAGGAGCTAAGGGGAAATCACAGGATACTCCTAATTTGGGAATGCAAGATCAGCGCTGGGAAAACAGATCTTTGAATATAGCATAAAGCACTGTTATCCTGAAAAGCTTTCTGGATGGAGTTGGATCCAGATTCCTAAATTTGAAGAGAAAAAAATATGTTTCATGAAAGCCAAGAGATGAAATGGTTTTCCTGCATGATACTTGGGCCTCAGAGTCTCAGAGGAAAGAGTCTGTGCCATATTCCTCAGCATGAAGGTCAGGTGGAGACATGTTAGCACAAGCAGCCATTGGTTAACTTGTGCTGCAAGACCACCAATAAAACAGGTTAGGAGCTCCAGCTAAACACTTCTCTGATTATGACCCTGAGATACTTCACTTCTATGACCAATGTGGTCTTGAAGACATGGAAATATATAGGAATATATTGATCACCCCTTTCAGGGTAGAAGAGGTCAAAAGTAGTCAATTTGCCAAATGACTGATTTATTCCTTCTAGGGATACTTCTGTATCCATGTCAGTGTTGATCTATGTTGCTGGCAGCTTGGATGTTCAGAGTGACAGAAATTTAGATCAACCTTATGTATAGGAGTCTATGCTTTTAGTAGCCTTCTTCTGTGACATCATGGGTACTTGACACATGCACTTATTGTGCCAGAACAGGACAGCTGATGGCAGAAACCAGCAGACACTGACTAACTGAGTTATTTTGTCTATTTGGTTGTTTGGTGCCTCTTCCATGGGGAATGCTCCCAGGTGGGTGTTAGCATGCAAGACAAGGTCTTTATACCTTGCGTCCACTCCCACAGGTATGCCCACATGCCTCTTTCCAGCCCTCATTCTACCTGTGCTACTCCTTCTAGACTCCTGACCAACAAGCCTTTGCCATTCACCCAGCCATTCACCACAGCTATTCAT